TACCTTTTCAGTCTTGGTTAATCAGTGAAAATGGTTTTATTGTTTTAGAAGTCTTCTCCATGATGATCAATACATTTTCGCATTCGATTAAACCAATTTTCGAAACAGTTTAGCCACTCTGAAGTTGGTATCTTCAAAACCAGGGTTTTGAATGTCTTAACGGGCCTATTTGTGCTTAGAAAAGCGCTCGGCACACATTTTTTTGCCGAATGTTTGAGAAAAAGAAGAAGTAATTAGGAACCAAGCCGAAACTGTAAGGTGTATGAACCTTTGTTTGAACTCGTATGTGGATGAGCTCACATTATCTTGGTGAAGGATGGTCTTACTTCGGCAGCTGGTTTTACCCAATTATCTAAAGGCTTCTGGCTCAGAAATGGTTGTGTACTACTCACAATTGACCATTCTTCTTCTAGACCATTCTTCACGTTCTTCTGGTGGTACAGTTACGACATGACCGGATTTTTTGACCAAACATGCGACGATTTGTTGGGTCCGTGTGCTCCATCCGCTGACAACTTCTATCGGGTTCTGCTCACTTTGAAAGACAAAACCAATGGATTGCTGTTTTGTTTAGGGCTCATAGATGTGAACACCTTATACGTCACCTGTCATGATGTGGTAGACGTGTTTTTAGCTACCTCGGCCATATTTTTTCAGCATTTTCTTACACTAATCAACACGTGACTTCTCCTAAGCGAATGTGAAATTATGGGAAACTCAACGGAAATAAGTCTTTCTGACAACCAGATCTAAATCTATATATATGAAAACCAAATCTATATATACATATACCAGTTTTGGTATTCGTAAAAATTTTGGGTCAGCGCTGTTATTTGCTAAGCAAAAAATTTGTGCATGCTTTATTATTTTTCTATTAAGTCACCAGACTTAAATATAACTCGAGTGTCGAGTACTTATTACAGTTCTCTGGTCTATATATAAGAGAGACCTATTTTATTTATGCATAATCTCTTAATTGTCTCGTACTGTTATTGTTTAAACAATAATTGAATCACATATGCATATATACACTTACTTTAGACTTTTATTTGATTTATGATTATAATTATATATCTATTTTAACTTGCAACCTATCGGAGGTCTTACAGTATTACTTAGTAGACTTGTTAAGCTAGTCAATCAAATTTTTCTTCCAGTGATCACATCATATTTTTTTATGATCTTAAACGACATTTTATATCTTATGACACCACCATATATCATTTTTAATATCTTGTGTATTTTATCATTAAATCTAATAGCGCTTAGAGATGTTGACTTTTTTTATTCTAGTAAAATAAAGTATATAGGTAGGTATATATTTATTTATTTTTTGATGTTGATTTTATCGAATACAAGCATCACCGCACTTAGGCTGTAACACCTGTTTGTATTATTACAGCGTCTATTAATCGTTCAAATTTAACAAGAGATTTATCATTGATAAGTTTGTACTGTTTTTTGAAGCTGGATTATTTATTGTTTCTATTTTAACAGCATATAAATCAACGGATCTTGACAAAATCTTCCGTATTCGGCATATTCTTAGAAACATAGCACAGTTATATGGTAGGTGTGCCTTTATTAATTTTTTTTAAATTTAATAAGTAAACCGCAATCTTCGTAATTTTTATAAATCTGGAAAATAAATCCATACTATCACCCTAAAATTACTTTATAATCCTGCTATTTTGTCTGTATATCTGGTACCAAAAATTGAATAAATTACCCAACAAATTACATAGATCTGTAGAATAGCTTAAATACAGTAATTATGGTACTCAAATAAACATATAATTAATTTATTTTTCTATGTAAACGATAACGGTTTTTATTAAAACAATAAAGACAAATAAAAGCATATATATTATATTAAAAATTAACACTTCACACCACTTATAAAGATAAACCTAATGTTGACCTCTCATGAGCAGAGTAGATCATATTTTCTGCTATTTATTACATATATGATATACTATACGTGTGTTTCGCATTGTATAATACATAACATCAATTCTGCTTAGTTTATAAAATTGTGTTATATGAATTTATGTACAGAAAGCTTCTGTTCCTGAAAGCACTAATAATGACGTAATAGATGCAACAAGAGAACCAGCAAACTGCCCACAATTTCCTGATTTGCGTTTGATAACACAGGCCGAACAGAGAAGAGAAAATGTGGATGATTGCTTAACACTCAATATTTACACCCCAAATGTAAGTCTATTTTACAAAATTTTACTCCAAAATATATATTTATATTAAATGCAGAAAGCAGGTCAATTTCCGGTAATTGTGTTTGTACACGGTGAAATGTTATTTGATGGCAGTGCCGCTGAAGGTCAACCTGACTATTTTCTGGAACACGATGTAGTACTGGTAACCATTAACTATCGCTTAGCACCATTTGGTTTTCTGACCACTTTAACAGATGATATGCCCGGCAATGTAGCACTTGCAGATATACACATGGCCTTGGAATGGGTGAACCAATATATACGTCCTTTCGGAGGTAATGCAGATCAAGTAACATTAATCGGTCAAGCAGGTGGAGCAACACTGGTTCACGCTTTAAGTTTAAGTGATAAGGTAAAGTTAATATACAATTTTTCACTCACAAGATGATCATTTACTATTTACACATAATTCTTCCTTCAGGCACTTGGTTTGTTCCACAAATTAATTTTACAATCCGGCACAGCATTGAATCCCTATTTCTGGGATGAAGATCCACTTAACACACTGAAAAGTTTTGCTAGATTAGCAAGTTGCCCAGTAAGTAACAGTGACAGAAACAACACTTACTTGATAAATTGTCTTCAGCATATGACAACCACTAATCTATTGACTACATTCAAAAACCATTGGGTATGTTCTATCACATAATCAAAGTAACTAATTGCTCATCCAATTGAAATTATGTATAAATTGCGTTTGTAGGAAAGGTACGAACCATACGGCACAAGAATAACAGGAGGCTTTAAGTTGGTTGTTGGTGATAGATTAGGATACATAACACAGAGTCCTGCAGCACTTGTTGCCAATAATATGTATCCAGTGATTATGGGTGTCACTAAGGATGCAGGCGCATTTATTTTGTCAAGTTGGTTTTTGTCATATCTGTACTTCTTAAATAAATTTTAATTATTCTCATTTCAATAGGATTTTATAATCAATTGGAACAAT